ATCATAAAAATTTCTGTCGTCCAGTTAGGTGTATAGCCTTTCTCGAAAACGTGATTAAATTTATTTTTTTTACCTTATCTCCTACTTTAAACTTTGACCGTTTAAGTGTAGATTTAGTCTTAAAATTGTTGAAACGTTGAACATTCGAATGCCCGTCATCTTCGACGAGTCCATAGCGCACTGTGAGACGCATGCGCACCAGCCTTACGCCTCGTCAACATTCAACACAGAAACGAGATTCGAATCTCCGTTCAACACTAAGACCTGTGCTTACTACCGAGCCGATGTTGGTTACACGTATACGGGAAGCTGATTAACCGTTTTAGTGTCAGGGGTTTTCAAAAATCCGTGTCGGATTGTGCCAGGAAGCACGATAGCGTTGCGAATTGACGATCGGGGCCAAACATTGCGACACAGTTCACCACAGTACGCGAAAAGCGCGATCGCGCTGCGTGGAACTAAACCGGTTAAGAAAGATGGGTTGACGGTGAATGCTAGTACGCTTCTGGTCAGTAATGCCATCTGTTATCTCTTCGAGGAAATTCACTATGAAATGAACGCCATTGAGATCGATCGAAATGAGAACGTTGAACTCGCGAGTCTCATGAAGGGCTAACCTTTCCCTAACACCTGGTTAACGCGCATTGATGGAAAACGTCGGTTGGCTCACCGAGCTAACAAAACTGAAAACATTCATCATTTTTAGGTGTCACATACTTTATTGAATATTTAACTTTGTTTCATTTAGTAGTTCGTTCAAATTAGTCTTTTATCCTTAATACAGTTTATTTTGTTCACAATTTAAACGTGTAATTTATTTCCTTAGTTCTTGTCCTACTCGCGCACCCCAGTCCCTGGTCAAATGATTAAATTCGCGGCCAAAAAAGATGAAGATGCAGCTTCTAAATCGGTCTACGTAGTTGTCGGTGGTGTCACTGTTTTGACGACATTGTCGTAACAATACATATTCTTGTTTTTCGTTGCAGGCACTAAATTGATTAAGAAGTGGCGAAACATTAAAGACAATTATTTTAAAAATTTGAGGAAAAAATCAAAATCTGGACAAGCTGCTGACTCCGGGCGACGATACATTTATGCTCGGCAATTGTCGTTCTTGAAACAAGCTGCTGGTACCACATACGCTCAGCGCAACCAACCTGTTGATTCAGAAAATGAGAATCTAGAGCAATCGCAGGATAACACAGTAAATACAATATCAGAAGAATCTCCCGAGGATCATCGGCCTTCCCTCTGTAACGGAATCTCAAAGAAGCGTAGACGTGATCTGGAGTCTTCAATGATCGATTTCATAAAAACTCCAGCTACTCCTGCAACTGTAACGGTAGTACCAGCAGCAAATCCAGACAGATCATTTTTCGAAAGCATCCTTCCCTTTTTGAGTAGTTTTACACAAGATGAAAAATTGGAATTTCGTAGTGAAGTACTCAGTATAATCAAGCGGATGAGAAAGTCCCAGTCGAATACCTGAAGAATTTGTCTACGAACACATCAGTAGTTATTCTGAACGCCCACTACATATTTCCTAGCATCAAACACCTCCAGATGTAGAGTACATATTTTTGAAAACATGAGGTTCAAAATAATAATTTCTTTAACAATTTTTTTGAAAATTGTTATTGAGTAAGAATTAGCGCCTCTAAAACCAATTACGTGTAAAACAGTATCGCCAAGTACAGGACTGTCGTGAATTTATCTACTTAATAACCGATTATTTATATCTTATCCGAAATCTAAGTCCATAAGGCGCTAGATATTTGCTTATATGACCTGCTACCGACTTACAGGTTTAATTTTTCAGTTTACAAAATACAATGCCTAAACTACTTCGTTATATTGCTGCCGGTACTTAAATATAAGGATGACTGTTATTTAATAATGTGGGTATGTACTATTGAGTGATTACTTGGTGGTTGCGTGCCTTTTCGAAAACAAATTTGTCTTGTAACGCGGCGGATTGTGGAGCCTCCTCCATGTTCCAAAGCGGTGCCCTTTCCGGTCCGAAGGCTTCCGAGGTACGGGGGGAGGTCGCGAAACTGTGGTCAAAAAGGGCTCGAGGCAGGTGCCTCAATGTGGCAGAAACCCTGTGTCAAGAGAGAGAGCCCTCCATCAGGCCGCCATATTGGGAAACGCGGACCCTTCCAGACCCTCAAGGGTGTTGCGGAGTCGATCGGGCCGACCGCGGCGCATCCACGAGGTCAGGGCTCGTGGACGCAAAGAGAATGACCTGGAGCACCGATGGCACCGTGGGATCATGGCGGATTGGAGTCCCGCCCTGGCACCGAGACTCCACGGAGCAGGGCCCGCGGTCGGTAAGAGGGCCTCGCGAGGAACTATCACCCCGAAAGCGAATCCGAAGTCCCTCTACTGGACTTCTGCGAGGCCATGTGACCCCGTGGGGCCTGGAATGACGCGGGGGGTCGCGAGGACCTCGAAAAGGTGTCGTCGCGATCCGACCCCTTAGTCTGCGTCTAGCCTGCACTCGTGTTTCGGCCAGCCGTTTAAAGTTCGCCTTAGATTTCGAAATTGTGGAAAACGACCTATTTCGGTCTGGCGAGTAGTTTCGGGTCAGTTTCGTGATACGTGAAGTGCTGTGCGTGTGTGCGCCAGAGGTCTGCGGGGACTATGGCGGAGTTTACGCCAAGGCTGCCCACACGCAGAGACGTCCGGGACCGAGCGTCGGAGGGAGGCTGCGCGATCGAAGGGAGAGCCAGGGTCGTTGAGTCGCGTTTTTTGGGGACGGTTAAAGCCGTAAGGGACCCCTGCGGTAATGTACTCGCGCCGCCTCGTGGAGGGCTTAAGGGCTCCCGAGTGAGAAGATATGCAAACGAGCTAGAGTCTCGCTTATGTAATTTTGGGTGTAATTGTTTATTCATTTCATTCTTATTAAAATTCGCACATCGTTCGTTCGACGGGGTATTCTTTTTGTACCGTACCTTGCCCTTTTCAGCGATCGTAGTGGCCGGAAGCCAGCTCCTCTCTGACTAGCATGGAGCTATCCGGTCGGATAGGGAAATAAAGAGAATCACCGCGTTGGGCGGTACAACCCGACTGGCGCCCTTAGAGGATCGGGGAAGTGAGTCCGCTACCAAATCCAAAGTTCGGGAAATAGGCGCCAAGTTTGTTGGCGGATTACTGGTCCGGCAGTCCGAAACTGCGGACGTAGGGCCGCCTTCAGAAGATTTATAAAGTCCAATCCTTGAGTCATTACAAGATTCAGAGTAAAAATACACATTTAGTATGGGCCCCTTTCACATTAATTGTCACGATACTCAATGTCGGTTTTGTGAAATTTTCGTCACATACCCCTCAAACAGTACTCGACAACTATTCACTTTAATAGCGCCAAAATTAGTAAATAGCAATGAACGGGGGAACCCTCGGCAGAATGGCCAATGATTACTAGGCTGGGTAGTAAAAGTCCTGTCCACCTAACTGACCGGTTTAACCGCCAGGTTAGGAACGACAGAAAACTCCTCGCCCCAGGAGTTACCGGCGAAATAGACGTGTAGAGGACCCCGCTGGCGGTTCACGGGCGCCTCGTGCGCCTTATGAACCCGATGCTTCCTCGACCAACCGACCACTAATAACAGCATAAATCGCTTCAAGGTCCGATGAGTACAGAAGTCTTTTATGGCATTGTGTCGAATTTGACCTTGGGGAGCTTCCTAAACCAAACGAGTAAGTCGAAGTATACGAATAAAATCGCCTGTTCCGTCCGATGGGTGCTGCATGAATTCCCCCGACACATGAACGCAGAGATGCTGCCTCCGCGGGGTTCCTAACGATAGGGTGCAGGTGTGTTTCTCCATCGTACAATGCGTCGACGTCACTGTGTCACTGGTCGGCTCGATCCCTAGGCTTGCCGATCGGGCCAGGGAATTCCGGTTTTCCAGGACCGCCGCCTTGATAGATGCAGACGGATTGTGAGTAATACTCAGGTGCGTAAGATGATCTCGCACACAGATAAGCCGCCTAGTGCGGCAGATGCTCTTGGGTTAAATTTTATTCAATTGGTAGATATACATCAGAAATGAATTTAGCAAGTGACTACACGTTATTCGTATTTGATGTTCCGTTTGATATCTACGACCACCTTTTTCTGTCTTTATTATTAGTTTATTTGTCGCGAAACCATCCACTATCACTTAAGCCGACAACTACCTGTAGTAATATCATCTGTTGTTTCCTATTTGTTTCATATCCTATTGTATCATTTGCGTATAAAATAAATAAAATAAGTGAAGGCTAAAGGCAAAAAGGGCGTCATGAGTGTTCTTCTCTTACCATCAAATGCAAGCAGTGTCGGTAAGAGTAAGTAAACCACCACCGTTAACTGTCGCATGGTATTACCATCACAAGTACGTGAGCCGCCAACGGCGAATGGTAGATGGCACCGCTATCGCGAGTGTGTGGCGGGCCCGGGACGAAGTCCGGCCATCGACCACCAGGGGCTTAGCGCGCGACGAGCGCGATGCGTTCAGGACGGGGGAATCTGCGTTACCCCGCGTGCTCATTACTGTACTTACCTCGAACGAAAAGACGACTAAGTCGTAAAATATTTTGAAAACGGTTGAAAATTGAGGAGAAGACTGTGTGACCAATTCTAGAGCGAACGTGGAAATCCGCTTCTTTTTTCTGTGATAATAAAGCAATAACTATAGATAAAGTGGTGAAATATATTCGACAATCACCACAAGTGCACGAGCCTCTACCAGAAATTCATTGCGCCGCCTTTGGGGGCAAAAGCAGTGAAAACTAATGTACGAAACCAGGGGGCAGCACAGGATGCGATCGCGCGACCCTACCCGTAGAAATCGCCCAACTCATCTCTGCGCGAACAAACCTATATTCTTACTTGAATAGGTTCCTCAAGTTCGACTTAACCGGAGTTCAATCGGTTTACGTGTGTAAACTGCGTATAAACTAGTTGAACATCGGTTCACTGGTGTTGTGGAAAGGGAACCTTAGTAATTGAAATTCATCGGCCATACTTCCGGCGGAGCCGACGCTTTACTGTACCTGCGCAGTTGGCCATCTTTTTCCGTTTCCATTTTATTATTTCTTCGTTTCACTGACCTCAACTGCCCGTGGTCCTTCGTGAAATATCTAACCACAGTTGTACACGCCTGGAAAGGAACGTTTCTACAGTTGTACGTGCATTCAAGTAAGCGAATTAAGGAGAGTTCTGCGTACACACTCAGAATTGAATATTTCATTGTAACCACCCGATTATTGAGTATGAGAGGTCTAAAGGCGATCTCAGCCATCGTGGCCCAAGCGAGTGACCTTAACCTCAGTTTCTATAGATTTATAATTTATATAATTTATACAATTTCAATATAAATAATCTAATCAAACGAGCATTCGGATGCGGAAGGGGTAATAATATCGCGAAGCTAACTCGATATTGTTTGTATACGTCAAGATCATTTTTCATGGACAGTTCCTTGTAGTGAAATGTTTCCCTTTGATAGTAAATTAATTGGTTGCTAGGATGGCATGGAGAATATGAATGTGAATATTCTCTTGTAATCTGTGGGAAGATCAAGCTTTTTCCCAAATTGAAACATATAATGTGTAATTACTTATGTCCTGAGTTTTATCGCAATTGACTGCCATTGTTATAATTATAATTATTATCTATATTACCGTACATTACAAATAGATGATTTACTAGCTTATATAATATTAAAATCAGAATTGTTTCCTATAATTGCAGCGTAATGCTTAAATTATCTGAAACAACTGCTTGAGTTGACGTTGTATTTGACAATTATACAATATTCGTATAAATATTTGAATAAGTATATTCATGCATATCAAGTAGGTGATTTGAGTTATTTGAGATTGTTATTTAAATGAGATATTTTTAAATTTGATTGTTTTCGTTTAATGACATTAAAGTCAAATAACAAAGAATGGTATGTAATCATGACTAAATTAGTAAAGCCTTCAAGGAAAGGCAGAATGTTGTGCATTATCACATTAATGTTCATAAAATTGATATTTTTTGGGGGAAAGAATTAAAATTTGATTTCAATCTTGAATGAATATTGGGGGAAAAAAAACGTTTTGAGATATAATCATTATAAAAATAGACATTATAAGTCTTAGAAAAGATTTTCAATTTTTTAAAGATACCAGCAAACCTACCACATTAAAAACTTGCATACTAGTAGTATCAGTGAAATTGTATGTAGTAAGAAAAGTTTTACTTTCTTTATTTAATGGTACAAACTGAAATTGTAATTTGCCTTTATTTATGGTATTTTATGGGGAATGCATTTTTGTAACAAGATTCGAGTGTTCTTAACACTTTACCGACCGGAAGCCTATTAATCGGTTTTACGATACCCGTGATCGCCATTTACTTCCAAATTCGCCGGTCGGTAAAGTGTTAATATAACCTATAAGCACAACTATAGAGATGTTTTTTAAATTGTTTCACCTACATTCTGATTAGCATTTGATGTACTTTTTTTTTTTTTAATAATACTTTATTGTGCCTTTGTATTAGTTTTCCAGAATCACAATATATAGTAACTTATATTTATGTCGAGGCTTAGTGCAGAAGTTCTTTGTCACAATTTTTTGCTTGCTTTACTTACATAGCAAATCAATTTTATCATTTACTTTTCAAAATTATGTTAAGTATGTTTTTATAATTTAATGTGAACACCTTCTCTGTGATATTGTGCCATCAGTATGATACAAAAGCAGTTGTCGTCCAGTGCTTATAACAGGAATTTTGTTTTAACCAGTTTACTGCATCGACCTATTTGAAATGTGTGTTTTCACGACGAGTATACTCGTCAAACTCGGCTAACTGATTAAATAAAATTACAGTGTGACTCTATAAGTGTGATATGAAGGTTGCTTACACATGCATTAGGAATACCAGAGCCAGCACCTACTTTTTTGTTGGATACAATGTAAATAAATGATAGCTTTAACACGTAATTTGACAATCATCGGTCTAGGTACCACACAGTGTAATATTTTCCCAATTTAATGGGACAAAATTATATATAAGAAAATACTTTAACTACAGCCAACATTTATTTATAATTAGGTTTGCCTCCTGGTTTCACACAGGAGTCAAAATATTTTTTTCACGCAGTGGTGTTTTTATTACCATGCATCACTATAAACATCCTTCTGTTTCATAAATATCACTTGTCCTGACATTGTCCAGGCCTGTTTCGTATTTTTTAATAGTTTAATTCACGTTTATAAAAGTTTTCCAACATCATAAAGCAATGAGATAATGTTTATAACACTTGCAATATCATATGGAAAATATTCGTAAAAACCGATAAAAATCAGTCTAGTAGCTTTCATGTTTTGCGTGTACATTCAAAAAAAAAAGTTTTTGTCTTTACATAATAATTAGCTTTTTGGAAAGCGACTTCATTGGGGTTAATTTTTTTTACTACTGTATAAGACTTGCTCCCTGTCTCAATTCTCTATTTCCAATTACTCAGCTATTTTTTTGCAATACCAAAATACCAAATAACCTAAAACCTTCCCAGATATTTTCTTTAGATGTTTCCAAAAACTAGAAAAATTGGTTGAGTATTTTCTAAGATTATCGCTTACAGACAGATATGCGTTGCTATTTGTGTTAGAATTAGGATTATGAAATAAGTCTTAAAATATATAATAAACACGTTATTATATAAAAGATACTATCCAAGTACTAGTATCGGAATCCCTGGCTTCACTTGTTACGTGGTGGTCAAGATTCGGATAAGGCCGGCGTGATATTTGGATTTTCGGGGCTAGAATTACGGAACGCCGCTGTAACATGAACAATTAAATAAGGAAAGAAAGTGATCCTATCGGCTCGACTACTTCTTTTGGTGGGACTTAGGGGAGTTGAATGTACAAAGAGTTTCGTAAGCGAGACTAGGCTGCGTATCAAGCATGTGCTTGTATTTGGATTGTCTAATATAATGCGAATATGGGAGTCACTATGTTCTCAATTTCGCACGAATGATGTGACTAATCAAGAAACTTGGGAGACTTTCGCGCCAAATACATTTAAAAGCATGTGCAAACGGCACCAAATACTTAACGCCAAAGCTCGGCACTTCAATTTGATAAATATTTCTTTCTCGAATAATGGAACTTATCATGGACTCATGTTTGGCATAATGAAAATATGTTCTGTTTTATAGAGCCTGTAATTTTTTCAGATTTTTTAGAGCCATCCACTATACGGTACGCTAATTCGAAAATATTCAAGGTCACGTTTCGCTCTCTTAGCGTGTTCATAACCTTCTACCCGATTCATTTCGTCGCACCGGCATTCCTCGCAAGTTCTCTAGAGTTACCACAAGTGGCGCCATGGTAGACTCAGAGTACGATGCGTCAACGAGTCAAGGGTGAAGAACCAATCAGAATTGCGCTTAACCTCGTGGACACTTATGTTGCAGTTGCGATTGGTGTTCATCTTCGACGTGTTGACACACCGAGCTCTGTGGCACACAACGAGCTCAGTGAGACTCCGGTTGTTTCCTCTGTATTATGAAAAATTGATGATTTGTAGGTTATTAATCATCGACAACATTTTCAGGTTAAACATTTAATTTCCAGGTTAAATATTCCTGACAGTTTTTCAGATTAGACACTGATGACATTTTTAGGTTAATTATCACTATCAAAACCATTCAAATTAGGGACATTGCCGATATTTGATATAGATTCACATTCACAGTTTTGTTTCAATTAACACTTTTAGGTTCGTACTTTCCTGGCATTGTCCTTTCATAATTTTAACATCGATTGATACTTTTAAATTAGTTATTTCTGGTATCGATCCTTCCAAACTGATACCTTGCTTGTATTTATATTAGATTAGACTGTGAGAAGTTTATTCATAACTTTTTATTAATACCAAATTGTATTAATATTGATACTTTTAGCATAGTCGTTTATTGGTATTGCCCTTTCATATCTTTGACATCAATTGACTTTTTTAGCTTGGTGATTTCTGGTATCGATCCTTCCAAACAGATTTTTTTTTTATTTATTTGTTTTTATTTCTTTTTTTTTTATTATTTATATTTATATGCTTATTTATTTATTTATTTACGGAAATTATTTATATGCTTTTATTTATACGAGATTATACAGTTTATTCAAAACTTTCTATTAATAGGAAATGGCACTTACATTGATACTTTTAATATGGTATTAGGTGTACAACTTTGCTTCCGCCACTTACCGCTAAAGCCATCTATAGGAAAACAGCGGAAGCAAAGTTGTACACCTAATATTTTGCTGGTTCTTTCATAGTATTACCATAGATCGACACTTAGTTTTGTGGTTTCTAGTAGGTCGTTCCAAACAGACAGTTTGCTTATATTGATATTAAAGTGTACAGTAGATTTATTCTTTTATTACCGTCAAATTGTTTTAACATTGACCCTTAGTTTGAGACTTTACTGATGTCGATTTTTTAATGTTAACACATGATACATCAAATAATGATTACTTCAGAAAATGATATATCATTAGTGTCATCATTTAGATAATTAAAAAAATAACACGCCCATATAAGTTAAATAAATACATTTTTTTCGTACAGTAACAGAAGTTTTGTAGTCAACTTCAATCAATGCAAAGAGGCTTCTTACCTGAATTCCCTTTGAACTTGTCATCGATGTGTATCTGATGGATTTCGATATTCAAGTATTCATTCAGTATATAACTCAATAGGAATTTCAAAAAGAGTTGAAATCACCACAAAAATACCGTCGGTATAAAAAAACTTGCGCCAAATACATCCAATTGGGAAAATATATTTTGCAAAGTCTTATTCATATAATGGCGATCTTGCCAAATACGTTAATGGGTGTTAAATGCAAAATAAAATGTTACAAAAGTATACCCGTACAGGAATTATTCAGCGCATAGGAGTAATGAATCTTGCTAAACACATGTAGTATGTTACATTTAAAACAAAATATATCTTAAAAATAAAAAAATGTTGGGCGAGCCCCACAATAATATTTACACTCTCAAAATCTCGAATTCAGTACAATTACTTAAACGTGCAAAACGGATAATCGTTAAGGCTCGCCAAATATTTTTAGTTTTAAGATATATTTTGTTTTGAATGCAACATACTATATGTGTCTAGCAAGATTCATTACTGCT